GACTTGCTACATTTTATCTCTCTCTTTTTTCATCTTCAGGCAATATCATATCAGCACAAAACTGTCATTATGTATGAGAGACTGCTAGGAGTGGACCACTGCAGCTCTATATCAGCCTATGTTAGTTATTAATAACTGGCCACACACACAATATTTATTATAAATTTATCGCACTATTAGTTCCCCACAATGCATGCTAAGTGAGCTAAAAGGCATGCTTTAAGAGCTGACAAGCCTTGAAATTCATAAAAAATCCAAATTTGATCGGAATGAGCTCAAACTTTGATACATCATTAGGACATGTATATGTATCAGAAACATGTCTCTTTGAGCAATTTTTGGCAAAATTTGGTCAAAAACCAAATTCTTTGGTATTGGCCCCTTTTTTAGCAAAATTTAAAAATTAATGAAAATCTGATTTTGATCAGAATGAGCTACAACTTTCTGTACAACATATGGACATGTGATCAGAAAATTATAAACACAGAGAATTTTCTCCTTAGTTGTTTTTGGCAAATTCTGGCCAAATACCATGTACCATGTCTTTGATCCAATTTTAAAGCAAGTTTTAAAATTTATAAAAATCCAAATTTTGATTAGAGTCTGCTTAAAATTTTTACACAGTATTAGAACTTCTATATGTATCACAAAATTTAATAAAAATTTTACCTTTGCAATGTTTGATTAAATTTTGGGAAAATACATTGTGATATATTTTATCAACATTTGGAACAACTTTAAAAATTCACTGAGAGCATTATGTCAAAATCCTGTGGGAAACCATGATCATGATAATTTCAACGACTAAGCCCACCACTGATTTTTTTCTTTATATAGTTCCATTTGGCTTAGTATTGGTGTGGGGCTTAGAGGATTGTTGTGGCGTTGAGATTATTGTATAGAGTTAGGTATCTAATAATGTTAAGACATGGTGAGGATCATCCTGAAATGTCTAATGTTGATGTAAGTATTGTTTTATCAAGTTCTCTTGTTTCATCATACACATGTACATGTATTGTTTAAAAGTATTGTAAATTTTGTATCATAACTGTTATTATTTATTTTAATTTCATTGAGTAGTTTTACATTGGTTTACTACTGAGTAATGCTGGTCATTATGAAGAAAGTCAGGCATATCTGGAAAGTGCTCTTAGATTACAAAACAAGTGAGCTAGTATATACAATTCAAGAGAATTAAGGCTGGCTATGTTTGTTCTTGTATCTGTTCATTAGGTTTCATGGAAGTCAATCAATTACTGTAGCCACAATGTTAGTAATGATAAGATACATGTACATGTACATCTTATCTTATCCTTTTCTCCTTGTTTTGCCTCCTCCTTCCCTTCCCCCTCTCTCTTTCCCTCACTCTCCATCCCTCTTTCTCTACTTCCCTCCCTCTCTTCTCTAGTCATCATCTTCTTGCCAACTCATTGACTCACATTGGAGCATTTGCTGAAGCTAAGCA